GTAAAAATCGCCTAGGGGGAACCTAGCTCTGATACCATGTTACGATAAGTATGAATTGATAGAAAATGTGAAGTACAACCCTAGATATAGCAAACCCTAATCATGCAAGGAAGTAGAAATGTAACACCTAGACTAACCTAAACAACGCATATTAAATATATATTGACAAGCCAGTGACGAAGGAGGGGACGCCGAGGAGTCTACCAACAGCGACGTGATGGAGGTTCAGCCTGGACCTCGGAAGTCAGGCCGAATTCGGAGGCCACCCGACTTCTTCGTCCACGCTGCCTTCACCACGATGTACGATGTGGACGACGACGACGTGGCGTATGACGACGCCGTGGAGGATGACGATTTTCCGGAGCTCGACCCTGACATGCATGTCGACCCCGAGCACCGTTGGGACATCTCGACGATGTCGGTGATGGAGGCGTTGGCTAGCTGGAAGGGTCCAGCGGTGAAAGCCGCCATGGAGGAGGAAATCCGCAGCCTCATCAATATGGGAGCTGGTCGAACGCCCGCCGGGAATGAACCAGTGGGTGCTGACGACGAAGTACCGCATCGACAACATGGCCGAGCGCGAGAAGGCGAGGCTGGTCGTGAAGGGCTCCATGCAGGTATATGGCGCCGACTACGACGAGACGTATGCGCCGGTGAGCAGCTACGTCACGCTGAGGATCTTCCTCAGCATCGTCACCGTCCTCAACCTCAACCGCAGTTCGACATGAAGAACGCCTTTCTGCAGAGCAAGCTCGACCGGGTGCTGTACATGTCCCAGCCAGACTACTTCAACGACGAAACCGACCAGGTGTGTAAGCTACTGAAGAGCCTCTACGGGCTGAAGCAGTCACCGCTGTTGTGGTACAAGGCCCTCAACGACGTGCTGGTCGGCACTGGGTGGAAGAAGAGCCAAGTCGACGAGGCTCTGTATTTCAAAGTCGGCGACGACGGAGTGGTCTGCTGGGTGCTGGTCTACATTGACGACCTGCTCTCCGCCAGCAGCAGCACTGAGATGCTGAAGGAGCTGAAGGAGCTGCTGGAGGCCGCCTTCGAGCTGCGCGAGATCTCGCCGGTGCAGAAGTACCTTGGGCTGGAGATCATCCGCGACAGGTCGGCGGGGAAGTTGTGGCTGCACTAGCAGAGCTATGCCGACAAGTTGCGTAGGCGCTTCATCGACGAGGAGCAGACCGGGCGCACCCCGAAGATGCCGGTTTCGGTCGACGCCTACGCCGAGCTCACGTTCGACGACGAGGAGGCCCAGGAGCGCCAGGAGGAGGAGCACCGGCCGAAGTTCGGCTCGCTGCAGTTCGCGGCGACGACGACGAGGTCGGACATCGCCTTCGCCTGCAGCAAGCTGGGGAGCGGCCTTACGGTGAGGAGCAACCAGCCGTGGCACGAGGTCGACCAGCGTCAGAGCCTTGATCGAGGAAGGTGTGCCGTGCCAGCTTCCAGCCGACGCACGAGACACACGGTGAGTCGGCGCCAGACGCCGACTTGAGGTCCAGCCCAGTGGCGACCTCGTGCTTCGCCGAGCTCCAGGTGGTGTCCATGCCGACGTGCGCAAGCCTCGCATGCAACCAGTCTGGCGTCGACTTCGTCGCCGAAACTATCGTCCGCAGGGCCACCACCTCCGCTGTGGGCGTCGTCGACTTTGCCGAGCAAGGACGCAGGTCGGTGCAGAGGACCCGGCCGGTGTAGGACACCCGACTGAGGACATCTCCTGCTGTCGTGACAAGCAACAGCATGTTGCCATCCTCCTTCAGCTTCACATTGTTCTCCTTCATCTGGCTGGCCAAGAGCAGGTTTGCCTTCACGCCCGGAACGTAGAGTACATCGGGGATGAGCACCTGCGTCCCGGCGTCACCTTGCAAGGCGACGGTGCCACGACCCTGGACGTCCTGCAATGCCCCATTGAAGCCACACACATGCTTCACATTACCACTCGGCCCCAAGTCGACAAAGGCCTCCTTCGTCCCCATGTGGTGGTGAGAGCAGCCGCTGTCGAGCAAGACCACCTCCGGGTTCGCCTGCACCACTGTAGCCATTGCTTGGAAGTCCCCGCCAGCCTCCGGCACCAGCGAGACGGTCAGCTCCACGACGTCGACCAGCGAGCACAATGCCTCCTTGTCGTCGCGCTTCTTGCCGCCAGCAGAGGAGTCAGCGTCCTTCATCGAGGTCGACTTAGTCGACTGCTTCTCCTTGCGCGGCTTACTCTCCCAGCGAGGGCGACGCCCGGCTGACCTCCCGCGGCCACCCTTGGTGTCGTCGTCGTTTGAGTCACTGCGGTCGGGGCACTCGAATGAGAGATGGTCGGGGCCGCCGCACAGCCAGCACTCCCGACGTCGACTCCCTCCTCTACGACCGCTATCCTTGGCCGACTTCTTCTTGTCGACGTCCTTCATCGGCCTCCCACCACCGCTTCCACTGCCGCCAGAATGCCCACGCTACCCCGGTCGGCCTCCCTGCTTCACTGGCACAACAAAGTTTGCCTACGGTAGGAGCTCCAAAGATTGTTCGGCTTCCTGCATCGCCTCGTCCCTAAGGATGTACGAGGTCAGAGAGTCCTTGTTGAGCGTTGCACGTGTGCTCGACACCACTGACAACCGCTTCATTAGGTTGTAGCTGCTCGGCAGCCCCTTCAAGAGATGGGTAACGTACGACGCCGTGGAGTACTGCACGCTGGACATCCTCATAGTAGCGAGAAGTCGCTGAGCCCGGTTGTAGTAGTTGGTCGCCGTCTCTCGGTCGCCCATTCGCAGATGCGTCATCTGCTCCTCGAGCTGGCCGATGTACAGGTCGTCGGTGACCTGGTACATCGATTCGATGAAGTACCATGCCTGGTGGCCGGCGTCCAAGTAGTCCCTGCACGGCTTCAAAGCGATCTACACGCTCGGCGAGCAGCACCGCGAGATGACCGTGAAGGTCAGCAACTGCACAACGCGAAACTCCGCACGTAGTTCGGGTTAGTGCTCCAATGGTGTCTCCATGGTGCCTCGGGCGAAGCCGATCAGCCCAACCATCTCCAGCTCGGGCTCGATGGCTTCCTTCCAGGTGAGTTTGATGGGTCGACCGACGAGCAGAGGGGTAACCGAGATCCTGTCAGGCGTAAACTTGAAGTAGCCGTAGCTATGTGCTATCCCGCCTGTTGTCACGTGGGTAGCCAATATCGGCGACGAAACGCTTCATTGACCTCCGACGTTGCCTGGTGAGGAGCCTGCAGCCGCCGACAACCGCATCACTCGCGTCTGAACGCCGCCGACTTCATCGGCGTGTATCACACCTCGCTGCCTCGACGTGCCTCCCGCACTGCTGCCAACTTGGTCACCACCGGCGTTGACGCTGACGTCGACGCCGCCCTCGGTGTTCACTGGTCGAGGAGAGACAGGCCAAGAAGGGTGCTCCGTCGCCCATACGGCACGGATGTTAGCCTTGACGACCGCCCAGGGCAGATCGCCATACTCGTTAGCCTCGTGACATCTCCTTTCATTCTCCAGCCGTGCCTCCAGGGTATCCACCACCCTCGTGTCAACTATGGCGCCTACCATAGTGACTACCGCACAGCTGCCAACCTACGAACACAAATTATATAAGTGACAACTACGTCGACCTGACTGAAAAGTAAGTCGTGTGCCGTCCACGCTCGCCGCACCATGCGGAAATAACTACTTCAACGGAAGCTAGACTACGGGCTAGGCACGGGGCTTGAGTGATCTCTGCGTTCGTTCACTTAGTCGTTTCCTTGTGTGCTCACTACTTGCTAGTTCACGGGGAGAATTGGCAAGAGTTCCACTAGGAAAAGTTGACAACAATGGCGATTACAACATTGACTACATAGACTACATCAGAGCTAGCTAGGTTGCCGGTCGACCTCCAACACAGCACGGTCGACCGCCATCCAGCGCAGCAGAGCTCGAACCGCTCCAGCGTTGCAGAGTAGCAGTTCGCCAACGTTGCAAGTCCATGGTGTGCCAACGCTGCAGCAAGTCGGCTGCACAGCGTTGCACCCGCAGGACAATGGTGCACCTGCTTCGCAGGTGCGTGCAGCTGGTTGGTGCGTCACTCCTCCATCACAGGCACAGCGCAGACGCTCACCAGAATCTACGCCAGCGACTGCGCCCACCAACCACGTCGACCTCGGGATACCACTCCCGAGGTCGGCCTTGCAGAAGTCACCCCGGCGACCTTCGCAACGTCGCTCAGGTATCCTGGTCGACCGGGCAACCACACCTGGTCGTCCAGCCAAGTCGGTCGCCAGCTGCACCATCCCGGCGTCCCCAATCCGGCGTCCGGCGTCTAGGCGTCACCAGCCTGGCGTCCCCAATCCGGCGACCAGCCGCCCAGGTCGGCGTCCATGCGCCTAGGAAGCTGTGTAGGCGGCCAGGTCGGCGTCCGGACGCCTAGGTCGGCGTTCTGGCACCCGGGACGCCGACCAAACGCCCAAGTCGGCGTCCTCCTGCTCGGCTCCCTCCAGCCAGGCGCCCTCGAGCTCGGCGCCCTTGCAGTGGCCCCCATGCCCGCTACTGCAGGTCGGCTGCATTCCACGCACACCCGACCACGAAGTCGGCTCCGCCCCAAGTGAGGATGGGGCCAAACAACACTCCCGTTGACAGTTAGGAATGGAAGGTGCGGCGTGGGCTCAATGGGAGATGCGGCGTGGGCAGAATGGAAGATGCGGCATGGGCGGAATGGGGGGTGCTACGTGGGCGAACTAAAAGGTGCGACATTGGCTCAATGGGAGGTGCTGCGTGGGCAGAATGGAAGGTGCGGCATGGCCAGAATAGGTGGTGCTGCGTGGGCGGCGTGGGCAGAATGGATGGTGCTGCGTGGGCGGCCTGGGCGGAAAGGGTGGTCTGGGCTACTTTAAAACATCAACCAGCGCACCTTGTGGACCATAATGCTTAGAACTTGCTGAGCTTTGTTCGCTATGCGCGCCTATGTCGTGCGTATTGTGCTGTATTGCTACGAAATATGTTTGGAAGGCATGTGAAGTGCAGTTAGCAATGGCCTCTCCCATCCACTACTCTTCACTTGCCCTCTCTCTCCCCTCCACTATCCCTCCCTTGCCCTCTCCCCCCCGCTTCTCTTCCCTCGCCCTCTCCCATTATTACCCTTCACTTGCCCTCTCCCCTCCACTTTCCCTCCCTTGCCCTCCCCCCTCCACTTTCCCTCCCTTGCCCTCTCCCCTCCACTTTCCCTCCCTTGCCCTCTCCCCCCCTTGCCCTCTCCCCCCCGCTACTCTTCCCTCGCCCTCTCCCTTTTATTACCGTTCCCTTGAGCTCCCCCCTCCACAACCATTCCTTTTGACTCCCCCCTCCACTACCCTTTCGTTGCCCGCTTCCCCCCACTTTCCTTCCGTTTCCATATCCCCTCCACTACGCTCCTCTTGCCCTCTCTCCGTCAATACCTTTCCCTTTCCCTCTCCCCTCTACTACCGTTCCCGTTGCTCTCTCCCCTCCACTACCCTTCCCTTGCCCTCTCCCTTCCCACTACCCTCATCCTCTCCTCCCATTCACTCTCTTATTCCCAATCAGCCACACTCAGTTTTGAGACCCCACAAAACCCTCAAAGATACCTCAAGCCAGTGATACCTCACACATGCATCTCTCAATACGCCCATCCCCCAGTGAAACACCAGAACACATGATCATTTTTCCGACAAGTGTGTCAATATCACGGTTCTCTTGCACAAGCAGTCTCAGCGATGGGCAACGATGAAGCAGCAGCAGGTTCGACAGCAGAATGATAACTGGTTCAACAGCAATGATGAGTCCAAGTGACGATTCTACTTCAGCCCTGCTTCTCGGCCTCCCTCTTCAACGAGGTGACTTTTGAGTCTACTCACAAATGGCAGAATGCTAAGTGTTTGTGACAATTCAACTTCAGCCCTTCTCCCTACCCTCCCCCTTCAAACTCCTTCCTTCTGCTTCCAGCAGGTTTGAGGACAGAATTGTGACTGGCAATGAGGATTTTGCCTTTCACTCGTCCCCTTTCTCCCCATCACCCTCCCCAATCAGATCTATGTCCCCTCCCTCCCCTGTATCCCATTTTCCTTCAGCCATGCTCCTAACCTTCCCCCTCAGCTTCTGCCTTCTGCGTATCATTCATCCCCTTTCTCCCCATCAACCTTCACAATCACATCTGTGTCCCCTCCCTTCTCTTTCTCCCATTCTTCCATCAGCCCCACTCCTAGCCTCCCCCACCCCCTCAAAACCACTCACCCCTCAGCTTCTGCCTTCTGCCTTGCACTCATCCCGCTTCTCCACATGCCCCTTATCAATCACATCTATGTCCTCCCTTCTCTCTCTTCCTTGTCCCTTCAGCCCTGCTCCTCGCACTTCCCCTCGTGTGATGCCTTCTGCCTTCCATCCCCCTCCCCCCTCACCCTCTCCAGTCATATCCATCCCCGCTTTCCTCCTTCCTTCCCCTCCCTCTGCCTCACTCCCCCCCATAAACCCCACCTCATCCTCTTCCCCCGTCTCCCCCTTCTCCACTCCTTCCTCCCCCTTAAACCCCAACAAGTCATCTTCTGCCCCATTCCGCCAATTCTCATACTCATCCGGGAAATTCGTCAATGCTCAGGGCCCACGAAGTTTCACCGCCGCCCGATCGTGCGCTCGGGCAGCCTCTTCCGGACAGGTGAGCGTTCCAAGCCACACACGGGAGTTCTTCTTGGGAAATCGGATCTCTGCCACCCACTTCCTGCAGTGCCGCTGCCGCACCCCCCGGTACCTGTTTTTGTCTTTCCTTGCTTGTCTGCCGGCCGCCATAGTGGACAGAAAAGGCGGAACTGTGATGGCACTTGTGGTTGGATTAGAGGACGCATCAAGAGGTGCACCTCTGCTTCTCGCTTCACCACCATCACGGGGGATCCGCACTGCTGCAGCAGCATCTCTGGCTGCTATTGTAGGCGTATCTCTGCAGCAGCACCTCTGCTTTACGTGTCTTTGCTGTTTTCCGCCTGCCTCTGGCACCCGAGACTGCTCTGCTGCACCCGCTGCTATGCCCACTCCCACTGCTAACAACCCTACCACCGCCTTCCCCTCCACCATTACCCCCAACATTCCCACCACCACTCTTACCATCATCCCCTCCCCCACCATGCCCTCCACCACCACTCCCACTGCCACCGTCCCCCCTCATACCACCGTCCCCCCTCACACACTGTCCCCCCTCATACCACCATCCCTCCTCATACCACCATCTCTCGCTGCCATTCCTCCTCCAAATGCCTCCCTTGCACCTGTTGCTCCCAGGACTACTCGCATTGGCAGGAATATTTTTTTTTAGCTCAAATTCCTCCTCGTCCTCCTCTTCGTCCTCGTCTTCCTCACCTTCTCCTCTTCCTTTCTCCCTCTCTTCTTACCTCTCTCTTCCTTGCTTTTTCCCCAAACCCCTCCCAGTTCGCCATCCAGCCTGAAACGCTCAGGTCTCCCCTCTCTGCTTACTGCATCACCCATCTCTTCCAATTTGACCTGCCTTGCCTTCTTGCTTCCCCTTACTTCTTCTGTAAAACAAGCAGCGCCAGCAGCAGCAGCAGCAGCAGCAGCAGCAGCAGCAGCAGCAGCAGCAGCAGCAGCAGCAGCAGCAGCAGCAGCAGCAGCAGCAGCAGCAGCAGCAGCAGCAGCAGCAGCAGCAGCAGGACCAGCACCATCACCACCGTCGACAGCAGTACAATTAGCCGCAGCAGCAGCAGCAGCCGGTGAATGTTGTGTGTTGAGCCGATGGGTTGCTTGGTGATTCGCCAGAAATGAAACAGCACAGCAGCCGTCGCTGCTGCCGCCACCACCAACAACAACAGCATCAGCAAAAGGGACTGCAGCACCAACAGCAGAAGCACCACTGGTGGCAGGAGGAGCAGCAGCAGCACCAACAGCAGAAGCACCACCAGTGGCAGGAGCAGCAGCAGCAGCAGCACCACCAGCACCACCAGCAGAAGCAAGTGCAAGCTGTGCGTTGATAAGGTGAGGTGCTTGGTGATTGGCCAGAAAGAGACCAACAGCACCACCATCACTACCAGCAGCAGGAGCAGCAGCAGCAGAAGCACCATCAATAGCAGGAGCAACAGCAGCAGCACCAGCAATAGCAGCAGCAGAAGCATAAGCACCACCACTACCACCACCACCAGCAGCAGCAGGAGCAGGCTTGCACTGAGTTGAAACGATGCACTCTGAAGTGGTTAGGATCATCTCCCTATAGCCCTGCTCCCCCGTACTTTTCACTTGTCCCTGCCATCTGCCTTCCACTCTGCACAGCCTTTTCCACTCACGTCCAACTTCTCTTCCTCCCCTCCCTCATTTTTTCCTCCACCCTTGCTCCTCGCCCTTTTCCCCATCTGCTGCTTACTGCTTTCCGCTCCCCTCCCCTCATCCTCACCTTCTCTAACCGTATACATCTCCCCTTTGCTGCCTCCCTCCCCTCTCTCTGCTGCACTTCTCGCCTTAAACCCCACCTCATCCTTCCCCATTTCCTCCTTCTCCACTCCTTCCTCCCCATTAAACCTCAACAAGTCATCTCCCGCCCCATTTTGCCAATTCTCATACTCATCTGGAAAATTCGTCAACGCTCGGGGCCCACGAAGTTTCACAGCTGCCCGATCGTACGCTCGGGCGGCGTCCTCCGGGCAGGTGAACGTTCCGAGCCACACGCGGGATTTCTTCTTAGGAAATCGGATCTCAGCCACCCACTTCCCGCAGTGCCGCTGCCGCACGCCACGGTACCTGTTTTTGTCCTTTTTTGCTCGCTTCCCGGCTGGCAGACAAGACGGGGCAGCGTTAGCACTAGTGGGTTGATTAGACGAAGCATCAACGGGTGCACCTCTGCTGCTCAATTCGCCATGATCTGAGGCGATCCGCATGCTTCCAGCAACGCCTGTTGCAGTGGTTGCAGGTGCGGCCAGATCTGCCTTACTTGTCTTTGCTGTTTTCCGCCTTCCTGAGCCTGCTCTGCTGTACCCGCTACTATGCCCACTCCCACTGCTAACAACCCTACCACCGCCTACCCCTCCACCATTCGCACCATCATTCTCACCACCATCCCCACCACCACTCCTACTATCATCCCCTCCCCCACCATGCCCCCCACCACCACTCCCACTGCCACCGTCCCCCCTCATACCACCATCCCCCCTCATACCACCATCCATCCTCATACCACCATCTCTCGCTGCCATTCCTCCTCCAAATGACTCCCTTGCACCTGCTGCTCCCAGGACTACTCGCATTGGCAGGAATTTACAATTTAGCTCAAATTCCTCGTCCTCGTCGTCCTCCTCCATCTCCTCTTCCTTTCTCCCTCTCTTCTTACCTATCTCTTCCCTGCTGTTTCCCCAAACCCCTCTCGCTTGACCATCCAGCCTGGAATGCTCCACAAATCCCCCCTCTCCCCTGCTTACCACATCACCCATCTGCTCCAATTTGACCTGCCTTCCCTCCTTGCTTCCCCAAACTTCTTTTGAAAAAGAAGCAGCACCAGCAGCAGCAGCAGCAGCAGCAGCAGCAGCAGCAGCAGCAACAGCAGCAGTAACAGCAGCAGCAGCAGCAGCAGCAGCAGCAGCAGCAGCAGCAGCAGCAGCAGCAGCAGCAGCAGCAGCAGCAGCAGTACCACCACCAGCAGCAGCACCAGCACCACAACCAGCACCACCACCACCACCACCGTTACCAGCAGTACGATTAGCAGCAGCAGCAGCACCACCACCACCACCACCACCACCACTACCAGCACCACCACCACCACCACCGTTGCCAGCAGTACGATTAGCAGCAGCAGCAGCAGCGAGTGAATGTTGTGTGTTAAGCCGATGAGGTGCTTGGTGGTTAGTCAGAATTGAAATAGCACTGCCGCCGCTGCCACCACCAACAACATCAGCAAAAGGGGCAGAGCAAACACCACCAGCAGAAGCAAGTGCAAATTGTGCGCTGAGAAGGTGAGGTGCTTGGTGATTCGCCAGAAAGGGACCAACACCGCCACCATCACTACCGGCAGAAGGAGCAGCACCAGAAGCAGCAGCAGCAGCAGAACCAGCAGCAGCAGCAGCAGCAGCAGCAGCAGCAGCAGCAGCAGCAGCAGCAGCAGCAGCAGCAGCACCACCACCACCACCACCACCACCACCACCACCAACACTACCACCTCCAGCAGCAGGCTTGCACTCTGAGTTGAAACGATGAGAAGCTTGAGAGGAAATTTGCGGTGAGCTGATGCTGTTCAGATGGGATGCTTGATAGGAGAGGAGCGCTGCAAGGAGGGGGCCAGCCGCAACTGCTGATGTCATGGCAGCGGCAGCGGCAGAGGCAGAGCGATCAGGAGGAGGGCCAATGGCAGGGGAGGGAGGAGGAGGAGGAGCAGCCAGAGTGGTTGCAGCAGCAGCTGCTGCAACAGGTGCACTAGCAGGAGAAATGGCAGCAGTGTTAAGAGCAGCAGCAAGAGAAAAAGCAGCAGAGGCAGGAGCACCAGAAGTAGCAAAAGCAGCGGTGGGAACAGCAGCAGGAGTGAAAGCTGCAGCAGTGGGAGCAGCAGCAGAGGAACTGGGTGCAACTACTGAAGGCGGATGAGCGTGAGAACTTGAAGACATAAAGGAACGTGAAGTCATACACGCATGAGCATGCATGGAAGTACCAGGAGGGCCGCCTGATCGCGTGCGGAAATGGGCTGCTCCGGTCCTGGTTTCACTTCCTATTGGCCTTGCTGCTGTCTCAACAGAACCACCTTTTACTCCTCCTTGTGATTTTCCTTCTAATCTTCCTACTCTTCCTACTCCTACTCCTCCTCCTCCTCCCCCTCTTCCTCCTCCTCCTCCTCCTCCTCCTCCTCCTCCTCCTCCTCCTCCTCCTCTACTTCCCCACTCACCACCTCCTCCTCCCTTCACCCCTTCTCCTCGTCTTCCCCATCGTCCTGACTCCCCCATGCAGCCCTCCTCCCTTCCTACCGCATCAAACCGCACAAGGCCCATCTGCATCTCACGTGCCCCAACCTCAGCCCTACAAACCCCCGTTTGAGAAATCCCCGCCTTCTGATCAGCCTCTGAGATTTGAGCCGCCTCAAAACTAGGTGCCGCACTTACTCTCATAAGATGAATTTCCGCCTGTTTGTCAGCCGTAGAGGTATATCGAGGTGCAGGTGAGGCTGTAGAGGCAGGATAAACAGCACCACGGGAAGCAGTAACAGCAGTACCATCAGGAGAATGAAAAGCAGCATCAGCAGCAGCAGTAGCAGCAGCACGAGGAGCAGGAGATAGGGACAGGGACAAGGAGAGGTCAAGATTCTCTTGGTGTATGCTCGTGCTTTCATGCTTGAGCGACCCATTTTTCACACCGCTGCATGCATCTCTCCTGCTTCCCAGGGCAGGTCCCACTGCTGCAAAAAGGGCGCCCCCCTCTCTATCTTCTGCAACAGTCGCTAAGCTTGTGCTTGAGTTTCTGTGCTGAACCCTTGGAGTTCTGACAGGTCTGTAAGATGGAGAAATAGAGGGCTGGGAGTTGAGGATATCTGAGACGCTGATACCATCGCTTCCACCTTCGGCTTCTCGAATCCTTGCCGATCCTGCCGCATTTTCCCCCAGATCTGCTGAAGATATCATTTCTCTGGTTCTTTCCATTCCTCCTGCTCCTCCTATTCCTCCCATCCCTCCTCTCCCTCGTCCAACATCCCTTTCACAGCCACTTCCACTTACCGTGTTTCCCTCAAAAGGCACCACCCCTCTCAACAACCCACCGGCTGACTCCTCTCTGCCTTCTGCCCCTGCTCCACCCCCTCCACGCCCCACTATTTTTAGAAAAGAAGCCAGATTTGGCAAAGAAGGTGCCTCTACCCCGTCCGTACCCGATCCAGTCATCCCTTTGCTCATAAGCTGTGGTCCCGGAGCAGGCAGGGCAGGTAAAGCTGCTGCTGCTGCACCAGAGTCTGCTACTCTTGCTGCACTTGCGGGAACTCCCCGATAAACGTCTATATTTGGCAAAGCTGCTATACTTGGCAATCCAGTCCCCCCTGAGGCTTCTAAGTGTGCTCCAGCAGTCATCATTATAATAGCAGCTGCGATCCTTTGCTGCTGGTGTTGCTGTTGCCGCTTCAGTTCCTGTTGTTGCTGTTGTTGCTCTTGCTGCTGCTGCTGCTGCTGCTGCTGCTGCTGCTGCTGCTGCTGCTGCTGCTGCTGCTGCTGCTGCTGCTGCTGCTGCTGCTGCTGCTGCTGCTGCTGCTGCTGCTGCTGCTGCTGCTGCTGCAATTTCTGTTGTTGCTGTTGTTGCTCCTGCTGTTCCTGCTGCCGCCGCTCCTGTTGCGGTTGTTGCCCATGCTGCTGCTGCAGTTGATGTTGTTGCTGGTGTTGATCCTGCTTTCGGGTCTGGTGTTGATCCTGCTTTCGGGTCTGGTGTTGCTGCTCCCACCGCTGATGCTGTTGTCGCTCCTGATCCTGCCTCTGCTGCCACGCCTGTTGCTCCTGCTGTTTTTTCTGCAGCCTCCACTCCTGTTGCTGCTGCTGTTGCTGCTGCAGTTGATGTCGTTGCTGTTGCTGCTCCCTCTGCTCATGCTGTTTTTGCTCCTGGTGGTCCTTCTTCTGCCACAAATGTTGCTCCTGTCTTTGTTGCTGCTTCTTCTCCGGATGGAGCTGCTGCTGCTGCTGCCTCAGATGCTGCAGCTGCATTTGCCACGAAACCACAGCAGAAGACCCCTCATCCAATACAGCAGGTGGAGGTGGAGCCAAAACCGTGGGAAACGTCGCCGAGAAGGATTGAGCATGAGAAGACTGGGAAAGCCGCAGTGATGAGACAGACACAGGCGAAGAAGCAGCAGCAAGGGGCTGGCCAGTGGGCTGGCCAGTAACTTGCCACGCGGATGCGAATGGTTGGGGAAAAAAAGCTGGTGTGGGTGCTGGAAATTGCCCATGAGATGAGGTACCGATCGGGGATACGACTAGAGCTGGGCGTGGGCACGGGTCCGCAGGGTGCGTTCTTCCTTGCTGCGTGTGTCGTGGTAACGAAAGTCCCATGGAGAGCTGAGGTGAAGGTTCACGCGGAAATGGCATAGGCTGCGGGGATGAAACAGGGGGTGAAGAAGCAGGCGGGGTGACCGTTCCATGCTGCGGAAAGAATGCTGCTGGTTGTTGAGCTGCTGGCCTTTCAGTTTGCTGCTGTTGCTGCTGCTGCTGCTGCTGCTGCTGCTGCTGCTGCTGCTGCTGCTGCTGCTGCTGCTGCTGCTGCTGCTGCTGCTGCTGCTGCTGCTGCTGCTGCTGCTGCTGCTGCTGCTGCCGCTGCTGCCGCTGTAGAAATCCCAAAAGCTGGACCATAGCCTCTTGGGTCATGCTCACACTCGCTCCGTGAGACCCACCCCTCCTCTCACCATCAGATTCACCTACTCTGGGACCAGCCAAGGGCGTAGTAGCGCCACTGATCTCAGCCGTTGCGGCAACCATGCCTCCAGGCCCTCTCCCTCTATCAGAGTCCTTACCAGCGACAGATCCAAACCCTTCTTGCGGCACTTGCACGGAAGAATCATTTCCAATCAGACGATCGCTGCCTCCCAAGCCTGCAGGAATTTGTCTTGTGCGGTCAGCTGCTGGGTTAAGAGACCCAACACAGTAGGGCTGCTGAAGGAAACGCCAACCGGAGTGGTGGAGAGCGGTGGAGTAGTACTAGAGATGCTCGGGTGTGCCGGGGTTGCGATATAAGTGGTTTGTGTGGGATCGCTGTATGGATTATGATGTGCAACGGCCATGGCGCTAAGGGAAGGACGGTCTTCAGGCAAGGAAGCCATTGGTGTGAGAGAGGAGTGAGAGGAGGAGGCCATACTAGTGCTAATAAGTACCCAGTGGGGCCCACTCCACTCAAGAAGGCGAGGAGACAGAGAGCATCCAGGCGAGGAGACAACTCAAGAACGGGCTTGTTTGCGAGTCGACTCAAGAACAATATGTGTGGTAAAGGAAGCGGGGAATGGCAAGGGTGCTGCGACAGCTTTTGGCTTTTATAGCTTGCCTAATGAGACAGCATATGGTCAACGTCGGATGGTCGTTTAGACTCAACGATCTGTTGTGTGGCAGTAGCAAGTCACCTGACGCCTGTGCCAGTAGTGACTCAGAAATCAAATGCTGACAGAGACAGAGTCACTGCAGGCTCCTGGTAGTACTAGAGATGCTGGGTCCAGTGAGATGAGCTTCGAAAAAACTGAAGGTTGACTCTCCCCCGCATTAGGAGACCTGAGGCGCCGTCTTGCCAACCTGAAGCACGTGAAAAGGAGATGTCAAGAAGGGAAAAGGAGGTTCATTTCTTAGAGTACTGCCGTGCAGATTTCAAGAACGGGGTTTCAAGATGTATTCTAGATGTTACCACGTGACGTGCAGATTTTTTTTATGATGCACTGCTCGTACTTAGGCTGAGGTAGCAGTAGTGCTGTCAAGAACAGATCTGCACCATTTGCAAGTCCTGGATATGTAATAGCGTGACATGATGAAATCGACACACTCAAGAGTAAGAAACGCGATTGTTTAGTAGTGCTGTTTTTCTGGTCTGACCTGTGAACGGCAATTTCTGAAGGAAGATCCACCTTCAGCTGTTGGTCACTTTCCTCCGAATTTTTCAGGCCTCCTTTGTAACCACGCTTCTGCTGACTTGCTCGAATATCACACGAAGCTCATCCATCCAATTTTTTTGTTTTGCGCGACATCAAAGCTTCCCGCTTCCCGCTGCTATAAGTTATAGGAACACGTTCAGTGATGACACAGAATCCGACTGTTTTAACTCGCTCAGCTCAGGTTGGGCGGTACCAATTTCTGCATGACGCATCTGGTGGGTCGCAATCATCTGTTAATCTTGAACTAAAAATTCAACGGGATTGATCGATTCCGCAAAAAATCCTCGTGTGGCCAGTCTGCGAGTCGAAAACCCCTCAAAACTGCCTCTGGAACAATATCGGGAACAACGGTTACAAGCATGTCATAGTGCGTATTGTCAGGAAATGACATGCCAAGGCAGAAAGTTAAGGCGGTGACTGCTTATATTCATGATATATCATGACAAGCCATGGCGTGCGCGCCTTTGACAGCTATTGGATTTTCTGGAATGGCAGAATCCATACTAACAGATTACTGGAGGGGTGTTAGTGTTTTGAGATGGAAAGAATCAGTGAGCGACAAGGTAGGGTTGCAACTCAGTTTACAGCAGACAGCCCATCTGAGAGATGAGTGGCAAAGATGATCGCTCTTCCTCCACCACCACCACCATCCGAGGCGGGAACGATTGGTGAACGAGACACACCGTAACTGCAGCAGGTGGTTGTCCACGTCGTTAGTGTGCTTGAAGCGAATCGAAGGGTGGGCGGTAACAGCAAACAGACTCTCGACTCCGTTCACTGCAGCAAGGAAGGGGAAGCCAATGTTCGTTCACCGACTTTGCAACAGTGCTGTACAGTACTAATAAGAGCGTGTACGGTTGCCTCAATTTTGAGTTTGAAAACACTTCGGTTTTATGCGTTAAGTTTTGAACCCATCTTGGTAATGTACGGTGAATCTGGCTGGTGGCCTCGACCTTCGCTCGGTTGCCTCGACCAGCCACCAAAAAGTGGGGAAGGTAACACGCTCTAAGGCTTTGGTCTACAGTAGCTCACAATCCTGGACCTGACTGCGGTCTAAGGTGCCTTGTCATGTCAAAAAAAAATTGAGTAAAAGTCGTCTGCAGCAGCCCCATGAAAACATTACGCCCTTGTTTGAGGATGAGTGCCAGGGTAGTTGTAAACCAATTCTTTCGTAGATTTGCTGTGTTGATCCACCAAAGGTTCGAGGTGTCGGGAGTCTGGACGGGACAGCAACATGTGACTCCATTTCGTCAACGGACCACCCCAAAAGCCACTTTCCCGCCATCGCATTGGGCTGACAACGATATCCTAGCGGGCGGCAGGCTCACAATCCTGGACCTGACTGCGGTCTAAGGTGCCTTGTCATGTCAAAAAAAAATTGAGTAAAAGTCGTCTGCAGCAGCCCCATGAAAACATTACGCCCTTGTTTGAGGATGAGTGCCAGGGTAGTTGTAAACCAATTCTTTCGTAGATTTGCTGTGTTGATCCACCAAAGGTTCGAGGTGTCGGGAGTCTGGACGGGACAGCAACATGTGACTCCATTTCGTCAACGGACCACCCCAAAAGCCACTTTCCCGCCATCGCATTGGGCTGACAACGATATCCTAGCGGGCGGCAGGTTTCACAGTTGCCAGAATAAAAATGGGGATGGCAGTTACACTACAATCATGACCACTCTTACACCCGAAATCCTTGATAGTTGGATGTTTGACACTCACACTTGGTGGACCCCTTATCAAGACACCAAGGAGGAACGGCCCGAAGTGCTAGAGTGCTCCTTGGTGTCGAGCAGTGCTAGAGTGCTCGTGGGCCGTTGTTCGTGGACGTCGACCAGTGTTCCTGTATTAAAGCCGTGGCCCAACTATCAGCTTCAACTTCGAAGTATTATAGCTTGGAACTTGGTTGTCCCGGGCAGTTCTGTGGCGAGAAGTTTGTCTTTTCCGAGATTCCATTTTTTTCATCCAATAAGGGTCTCGTTACGCACACTCCATGTTTGTCCTGCTACTGTTCCTAAGAAGTTGCACCCCGCCTTTAAGTAGAGAATCTTCCGTGGGTGGAAATTCAAGTTCATCTCCATCTAGTGCCGGGATTTTGGGTTTAGGCTTTTTAAACACCCTGATTATCAGCCTAAAGCTTGACGCTTACTTTTAACCGTCGATACAACCGGGCATTTTGGGATTTTACCCTGAGGCATCAGTGTTTGTTTTTTTTTTCATATGAGTCTCAAATGATCTTTCCAACTACATCAATTATCGTACGGTAAGCATAACATATATTATGTTCAATCATCATCAGACAAATCACGATGAGCATCTGCATCGCTATAATTATCCGTGCAATCCTACATTTTCGCCTTCCCTTTTCCCTCGTACGGTCCGACTTGGGAAGGTGTTTCCGCATGTTTTTTTTTTGCTTCCGCCAGATCTCCACAACCTCATGCCACTTGTACTCGTAGTCCTGCATGTTGAGGGTTATCATCTCACTTATATGGGCATCGCAAAGTGATATCCGCATCCAACTTTTAATCACGTCTTGGCGGCTGAAGATGCGCTCGCACTCGACGGTACTTAGCGACAACACCGTCATTGCCTACCACTAATTCATCAGGTTGGGGTAGCTGCAAGGCCAGACCTTTGTTTTGAGCATGTTGGCCAGGCCCTACTAAAGGTCGTCATCCTTAAGGTGACGCGCCAAAATTTGGCAGAAGCTCTTAAGCTCCAGCTCTGCAACCATGTGGTTGAAGCCTGCTACGTCGGTTAAAAAGCGGAATGTACGCTCAATAAAAAATTATCGGCAAACCATAAATAGTACGCGTCGCTTGCAATATGCTTCCGCACACAATTGAAAAACACACCTGGCATGTCAGAACATTATAGCTCATGCATATTGTGTAGGCTATAGTGGGGTAGACCATAAGGGGTACAGCCCAATTAGGGTTATTACTTGTACTCAATTCATTCATAGTTCATTCATTCCTTGTTTCTTCTCATGGTATCGAGCAGGTTCCCCTGTGGGAACTGTTCCTAGGGCCCACCGTTTTTTTTTTTCCTGCCCGGAGCGCACTCAGCCCCTGCCCGAGTCGCGCTCCCCTCTCTCGCGCCGCCCTAGCGGCCCCTTAGCGCCGCCCTCGCGGCCCCTTCGAGCCGCCCTCGCGGCTCTATCCGCCGCCCTTCGCGGCCCCTACTCCGCCGCCCTCGCGGCCCCGATCCGCCGCCCTCGCGGCCCCGATCCGCCGCCCTTCGCGGCCCCGATCCGCCGCCCTCGCAACCCCTTCTCCGCCGCGCTCGCGGCCCCTATCCGCCGCCCTCGCGGCCCCGCTCCGCCGCCCTCGCGGCCCCGATCCGCCGCCCTTCGCGGCCCCGATCCGCCGCCCTCGCGGCCCCGCTCCGCCGCCCTCGCGGCCCCGATCCGCCGCCCTTCGCGGCCCCGATCCGCCGCCCTCGCGGCCCCTGCTCCGCCGCCCTCGCGGCCCCGATTCGCAGCCCTAGCGGCCCCGATCCGCCGCCCTCGCGGCCCCTTCTCCGCCGCGCTCGCGGCCCCTACTCCGCCGCCCTCGCGGCCCCGATCCGCCGCCTTCGCGGCCCCGATCCGCCGCCCTAGCGGCCTCCGGCCCCTGCTCCTACGGCCCCGGCGCCTGCTCCTACGGCCCCCGCGCCTACTCCTACGAGCAGCCCACCCGCCGAGCCGCCCAGCAACCGAGCAGCCCAGCCGCTGAGCCGC